CATACACCTTTGGAAAGTGGCAGGAGCATTGCACAATCCAAAAGGCATCCGTTGATAAGCAAATGTACCGAAAAGACATGTGAATGTGGTCTTTTCTTAATCTAATGGATCTAGGGCCACTTGATTGTACCCCGAATAACCATCTAGGAAGCAATAGTATTGTTGCCCAGCCAATCTTTCCAAGATTTGGTCAATGAAAGGCAGTGGAAAATGGTCCTTCCTAGTGGCAGAATTCAACTTTCGGTAATCTATGCAAACACGCCATGAAGTGGCGGTGCGTTTCAAAATAAGATCACCCTTAGCATTTTCAACAACTGTGATTCCCGAATTTTTAGGAACCACTTGAGTTGGACTAACCCATTTGGAATCAGAGATAGGATAAATGATTCCTGCATCTAGAAGTTTCACAACCTCCTTCATGACAACTTCCTTCATATTTGGGTTCAATCTCCTTTGAGCATCCCTAAATGGCCTTTCATCCTCTTCCATGTGTATACGATGCATACAAATAGAAGGGTCAATACCTTTTAAGTCAGCCACACTCCATCCAATGGCTTCTTTGTTAGCTTTAAGCACTTCCAAAAGATCATTCTCTTGGTTATTTTCAAGATTGGAAGCAATGATGACCGGAAGAGTCTCTTTTGGGCCTAAGAAGGTGTATTTCAGATTTGATGGAAGGGGCTTAAGCTCAAGAATAGGAGGAGAGATGAGAGATGGAACTGGTGGAGTACTAGAGAGTGAAGGAAGAGGTTCTTTCTTGCTTTTCCAAGGTGGGTAATCCAAAGTGGCCACAGAGTCCATCAAAGCATTCACCTCACTTATGGATCTTTGTGTGTCAAAATCACAACTTTTAAACATTTCACAAAGGCACGCCTCAAGAGGGTCCTTAGAGAGAATAGAGGGAAGAGTCTCCTATATGGTTTCATCTAAGACATCTACTAGGAAACACTCGTCTTCATCTATGGGATGTTGACTTGCATTGAAAACATTAAGTTTAACCATCATGTTGCCAAAAGAGATATCCATAATACTGGATCTACAATTAATGGTGGCATTGGCAGTGGCAAGGAATGGCCTTCCTAGGATGACTGGAATGTGATTGGTGAGATTAGGGACTGGCTCAGTATCTAGTACCACAAAATCAACCAGGAAATAAAATTTATCAACCTTAATTAGAATATCCTCAACAATTCCCCTTGGTTTCTTAATTGATCTATCGGCTAGTTGGATTACTACCGATGTTGGCTTCAAGTCCCCTAACCCTAACTGCAAGTAAACAGAGTATGGAATGAGATTGATACTTGCACCTAAATCAAGGAGAGCTCTACGAACCTCTTGGTTTCCAATAACACAAGAAATGGTCGGAGCACCCGGATCCTTGAACTTAGGAGGAGTGTTAGACAGAATGATGGAACTCACTTGTTCTGTTAAAAGCACTTTCTTAAGGTCCTTTCCCTTACTCTTCCTCTTTTGTGTGCACAAGTCCTTCAAAAACTTTGCATATGGTGGAATTTGCCCAATTGCATCTAGAAGAGGAAGATTGATTTTTACTTGTTTAAACACTTCCATCATATTATGAATTTTCTCTTCTTGTCTCCCAAATGATAAAGTCTCTTTCAAAGCTTGAGAAAATGGAGCTTTTGGCTCATAAGGCTTCTCTAATTGGGGAGATTGTGATAAAGATGACGGAATGTCCATTTTGGAACCACTAGCATCCAAAGAAATAGGAATAGGATTTGGAATGGGACGAATGCTACCACTTGGTTGCTTCAGTTCATTATCCTCCTTAGGTACCTCTACCTTATTATCCACTTTCCTACCACTCCTCAAGGTAGCAATTGCTTGAACTTGCTCATTTCCAGAAAATTCTGATGAAGGACTTGCTTGCGCTATAAATTGCCCCTTAGGATTGGTCTCAGTTTGACTAGGCAACTTACCTTTCTCTCTCACATTTAAAGAATTAGCTAATTGCCTAATTTGAGCTTCAAGCTTTGCAATTGATTGAGAGTGAGAATGAAACAATTGATTATCTTTTCGAAGATCACCTAAGGCTTGCAAGACCTTGTCCTCAAAAGCGGAACTTTTAGGAGGCGCTTGATTTGGATTAGAGTAAGATTGAGAATTTGATGCTTGAGGTTGAGAATAGGATTGAGAATTTGATGCTTGAGGTTGGGAGTATTGATTCACATTCTGAGGATAGAATGAAGGACGGTAACCTTGAGAATTCTGATTTTGATTTTGGAGATGTGGGGGAACATACTTTGCTTGGTAACCTTGATTTTGGGGAGGGTTTGCACCATCTCCTTGATTTCTCCATGCAAAGTTAGGATGATTTTTCCACCCCGGATTGTAAGTATTGGAATAAGGGTTGTTCCCTTGATGAATGAAAGTTGCATTTACTTGTTCTTGAGACTCACTTGGTATGACTTGTCCAAGAGGGCAATTTGAAGTATGGTGAGTGTAACTAAAACAAGTCATGCACATTTCTTTGGAAGGATGAGAATAAGATTGAATTGCCGGACCTTGATTCAAAAGGAATTTATCAAATCTTTGAGTAAGATTTTTGACCTCGACGGCAATTTCCATGGAAGAGTCTATTTGATTTAGAGCTTTCTTGCCTCCCATATTTGCTAAGTGACCACCCCTAGAAGATGAAGATCTATGCATTGAGTTTTCACTCATTTTTTCGAAAAGAAGCCAAATTGCATCTTCATTTCTTTCTATGTAGCTTCCGCCACAAGAAGCATCAACAATGCCCTTATTAGCATCGGATAAACTTGAAAAGAAACATTGAACTAATTGCCACTTAGGAATGTCATGACGTGGACACTTCCGTAGCAAGTTATTCAAACGTTCCCATGCTTCATGAAGGGGTTCTCCTTCTTGTTGTGTAAATTCACGAATGAAAGTTCTCATGGTATTGGTTCGACTTGCGGGGTAATACTTTTTTAGGAACTCTTGTTGCAATTGTGCCCAAGAGGTGATTGTATTTGGTCGCAAGTTGTTAAACCAATATTTAGCTTTATCTCGAAGAGTGAAAGGGAAAAGCTTCATTTTTAGGACTTCTTCCGGAACATCCGTGATTTTCACGGTGGAACAAACTTCCAAGAACTCATCTAAATGTTTATAAGGCTCTTCATTGCTCAACCCATAGAAAAGGGGGCACATGTTAATGGTAGAAGCCTTAATCTCATAATGATGAGCACGGAAATTTGGCAATTGAATGCAAGTGGGTGCATTATATTGATTTGGAGTGTAACGATCCCTAAGGACCATTGGAGGATTGAGAGGATTAAGAGGAGGATATGGCATTTGACCTTGTTGATGATATGCCATTTGACCTTGTTGAGGGTATGCCATTTGAACATATTGTTGTTGTTGCTCACCAATTGGGGGAACAACATTTGGCCTTGGCATCCCTAGATTAGGTTGTTACACCGCATGATTAACTAGTTGTGGCATTCCCAAGGGTGGATGCACACCTTGAGGATCCACAATATGAACTTGTGGTGGGTGGTGCACATCATTATGATCCACATGACCAAGATCTATAATGGGATCTTCAATTGGATTTATTGGGTCTTCCATTAAAGGTGATGGAAGATCAAAATTTGAAAAATTAAGATGACTATCCCTAATACTACTTCTTAAACGCCGAAAAAAAATTTCGAGATTTTGATTTACAGGAGCAAGAGGATGATTAAGTGATCTACGACCATGCATGCACTAGAACAAGTCAACACACCAACATTTCAAAATTTCAACCTCCACATACGATGTTCCCAAACTCCTCAATAATATCAATGCACTTAAAACAAATAAATGCCTCCACACGGGCCGATGCCTTCTACAAGAAGGTATGCTTGGACTTAAAAATAAAATAATTCAATTTAAGCCTCCAATTGGGCTGTCCAAAACATGCAAGATAGTAAACAATTAAGCACAAAAATTAAAGAGAAACTTACAAATGGTCCTTAAGCAACTTCAATTTTTTTTTTTTTAATTGCTTCCAAGTCTAGCGTTTGCTCCACTTTGCTTCAAATACCTAATTGACAAATCAAATGAGAAAATAAAAATTAAAATGACTTAAAAGTAAACAATCAACAAAGAACTAATGTCTAATTCAATTCTTTTAAAAACCATTAGATCCCCGGCAACGGCGCCAAAACTATGGTGCGACCAAGCGTGTGCACAAAATAATACACAACACTTTAGGTTTAGAAATAATGTCAAGTGGGCACCATATTTTAAAATTTATAAAACCACTAAACACTTATACTATGGAGTATGAAGTGAGTAGGGATCGTCCCAAGAGATCTAAACAATTATAGGTTTTTCAGAATTGAATTCTACTTTAGTACTTATGTGATTGCTAAAAAGGTTTGGTTTTGTGATTAGACTAATTTTAAACTTAATAATGCAAATAAAGAGTAGAGTATAAAAGATTGGAAAGAGACTTAGGGTGTAGGATTCACCACTAAGCACATTCCTTAGCTCACTCACTTTCAACTAATTGGGGAAATAATTAAATGTAATTCTAATGTAGCTAATACTTGCAAAGAAAAGTATGAAGCATCAATTTCAAGCTTGAATTGCATACCTAATGACAAATAAACTAAGTGTAGTGCAATTCACCAATCCAAAGAATAGTCCATCAATTCAAGTTACAATTCTAGCTTACATTAATCTAGAAGATAATGCAATTGTGACAAAAAGTATAGAATTCAAACATAAGTATGGATGGTCTACTTATCTAATAATTGAATTGCAATTAAATTAATTAATCTTAAATTAAACGAATTAAACATGAATTTAAAACTAATTAGACAATAAATTAACCTAAACATATAGTGCCATCCATCAAATAAAAGTAATTTTTCATCAATTTGAACACGATTACAACTAATTAACCACATGCATAGACATCACAAGAATCAATTTACAAGGAATTCAAGTGTATAGCTTGTTTATTCATCAATAACACATAAGACAACATGAGATTAATACGAATAAACAATTGAAAGAATTAAATCATGTTATTCAAGCCTATACATCAATTACATAAATAAATCCCCAAAAAGTATGAAAAGAGAGAGAGAATAGGTTACATGCTTAGGGTTTATCCAACCCTAAGTAGGAGAATTAGCCACTCATGGTTGATGGAGTTGAAGATAGAATAATCTCCATCCTTGGATTCATCATCTCTGAGCTTCTTCTCAAAACCCCAGCCTGTTCTTGCTTTTTCTCCTCTTTCCCGTGTTTTTCCAGAGAATAAAAATATCGATACAGAATACTAAAAAAACTTAATCAAAAAATAATATTCACCTAAATAAAATAAATACTAACCCTAATCTAATGGCTCACTGGGCCTTAAGTAACAACCCTATTGAAGCCCAATAGTTCACAAAATAAGCCCAAACAATAAAAAAAAATCTGTAATGTTGCCAAGTCCTGGGGGATCGATCCCCCACCCTGGGGAATCGATCCCCCAAGAGTTGGAAATTTCCTTTAAGCCTTATTTAGCTCTATCTTGGCTCCGGGCTAATTGGTTTGCTTCTTCATCTTTGGAAACATCATCAAAGGCTCGAGATTTACCACTTTCGAAGAATAAACACACTATACGAGCAATGGGCTACGACCTCTTTTTGTCATTTTCTGAACTTTTTCTGAATATCTTTGCTTGACTCCAAAAAGGCTTTAATGGACCGTTCTTAACTCATTTTAACTTTATCGCCCTGAAATACACATAAACATAAATTAGGACTAAAACATGAAATTAAGATAGATGCAAAGACTAAAATACCCTAACTTAGGTGCTGAAATGTGCAACATTTAAGCACTTATCAGTTCCGTTCTTCCACAAATTCTCTGAAGATGAATAACAATAAGCACATCTAAAATCGAGATCAAGATTCGTTAGCACATGGATCCAACCAACAAAGGATTAGAGGATTGTACTTAATTTTATAAATTAATTATTATTTGTTTCATATGTGAAGAATATCAATTTTTATAAATTAATAAATTAATTATTTTTTGCTTCATATGCAAAGAATATCAATTTTTATAAATTAATAAATTAATTATTATTTGCTTTATATGCAAAGAATACATATTGTACTCAATTTTTATAAATTAATAAACTCAATTTTTATAAATTAATAAAATTAATTATTATTTGCTTAGTAAAAAAAAGTGTTAATGCATAGTAAAATATTTAATAAATTAATTGGTGTATAAAATATTGAAATAAATCAATTGGTGCATAAATAATTAATTCACCACATATTATCCTCATACTTTCTTTTTTTTTTTTTTTTTTTGCTTTTTTTTTTTTACATCCTCATGATAAGGTTGGGCAGTGGATTAGACATTACATCTAGGCGCATCAAGTGGTAGGTTTCCGTACTTATTTAAACCGACGTGGTAAAATCTTATGAGGAATTTGCAGAATGAATAGAGATAAACTGTGAAAATGATTGTTCTCTTGAAAAATTGTATCTCATGAAGTTTCTTGTTGCAACTTCTAAAATATTCTTAAGTAATAGTACAAGTGCTATTGATAATTCAATTTCAAATATGTTAACTTTGACACAAATCAATGAAAATGATTGTTCTCTTGAAAAACTATATCTCATGAAGTTTCTTGTTGCAACTTTTGAAATATTCTTAAGTAATGCTAGAGTGCTAATGATAATTCAATTTCAAATATGTTAACTTTGACACAAATCAATTATCAATTAAAATTAAATAGGTAAAATAAAATAATTTCTGTAAAACTCTAACACAAATTACCTTTTATTGAGAGTTTTTAATAAAATAATTTTCCTATTTTATTTTCAATAAAACACATTAGACAAGGATATATTTAAAAGTTTCTATAAAACTCTAACACAAATTACCTATTTATTATCAATTTTTTAATAAAATAAAATCTAATTAGACAAGAAATTATTAATATAAAAAATATTTATTAATTGATATAGAAAATAGAATAATTTCTCTAAAACTCTGCCACAAATTATCTTTTATTATAAGTTTTTTAATAAAAGGAAATTTAATTAGATAAGGAAATATTTAAAGAAAATAAAATAATTTCTTTAAAACTCTAACACAAATTACCCATTTTATTTTCAATAAAACTCTATTATATTAGATAAGGATATATTTAAAAAGTTTCTATAAAACTCTAACATAAATTACATATTTATCTATTTATTATTTTGAGTAAAAATAAAAGAAAATCTAATTAGACAAGAATTTTTAATATAAAAAAATTTATTAACTGATATATAAACTAATATAATTTTTCTAAAATTCTACCACAAATTACCTTTTACTATAATTTTTAATAAAAAAAAATATAATTAGATAACGATATATTTAAAGAAAATAAAATAATTTCATATAAAACTCTACCACAAATTACCTATTTTTTTTTCTTCAATAAAACTCTATTACATTAGACAAAATATATTTAAAAAGTTTCTATAAAACTCTAACACAAATTACCTATTTATCTATTTATTATAAGTTTTTTTACTAAAAGGAAATCTAATTATACGAGTATTATTAATATAAAAAATATTTATTAATTGATATAAAAAAGAGGTTTCAAAATAATTTCTATTAAACTCTAACACAATTTACCTATTTATCTATTTATTATGAGTTTTTTAATAAAAGAAAATCTAATTAGACAAAAATTATTAATATAAAAAAATATTTATTAATCGATTTAAAAAGAGTTTTTAAATGAATTTCTATATAAAACTTTAAGACAAATTACCTATATATTTATTTATTATGATTTTTTAATAAAAGAAAATCTAATTAGACAAGAATTATTAATAGAAAAAATATTTATTAATTAATATAAGAAGAGTTTTTAAAAGATTTACTCTAACACATATTACCTATTTATCTTTTTATTATGAGTTTTTTTAATAAAAGAAAATATAACTAAAAAATAATAAATTTAAAGAAAATAAAATAATTTCTATTAAATCTTCCACAAATTAGCAGTTTATTTTCTATAAAACTCTATCATATTATATATTTATTATAAAAGAAAATCTAATTAGACAAGAAATTATTAATATAAAAAATATTTATTAATTGATATAGAAAATAAAATAATTTCTCTAAAACTCTGCCACAAATTACCCATTTTATTTTCAATAAACTATCTCACATTGGATAAGGTATGCGTTTTTTAATAAAAGGAAATTTAATTACACAAGGATATATTTTAAGAAAATAAAATAATTTTTTAAAAAACTCTACCACAAATTACCCATTTTATTTTCAATAAAACTGTATTACATTACACAAGGTAATATTTAAAAAGTTTCTATAAAACACCAATACAAATTACTTATTTATTTATTTATTATTTTGAGTTAAAATAAAAGAAAATCTAATTAGACAAGAATTTTTAATATAAAACAAATTTATTACATGATGTATAAATAAAATAATTTTTCTAAAATTTTACCACAAATTATCATAACTTTTTAATAAAAAGAAATCTAATTAGACAAGGATATATTTAAATAAAATAAATAATTTTTATAAAACTCTAACACAAATTACCTATTTTTTTCCAATAAACTCTATCACATTAGATAAAGATATATTTAAAGAGTTTCTATAAAACTCTAACACAAATTACCTATTTATCTATTTATTATGAGATTTTTTAATAAAAAGAAACCTAATTATACGAGTATCATTAATATAAAAAAATATTTATTAATTGATATAAAAAAGAGGTTTTAAAAGAGTTTCTATATTACTCTAACACAATTTATCTATTTATTATGATTTTTTTTATTAAAAGAAAATCTAATTAGACAAGAATTATTAATATAAGAAAATATTTATTAATTGATTTAAAAAGAGTTTTTAAAGGAGTTTCTATATAAAACTTTAAAATGAATTACCTATTTATTTATTTATTATGAGTTTTTAATAAAAGAAAATCTAATTAGACAAGAATTGTTAATATAAAAAATATTTATTAATTAATATAAAAAATAAAATAATTTTTCTAAAACTCTACCACAATCTATCTTTTATTTTGAGTTTTTTTTTTTATAATAAAAGGTGATCTAATTAGACAAGAATTATTAATATAAAAAAATATTTATTAATTGATATCAAAAGAGTTTTTAAAAGGTTTACTCTAACAAATATTACCTATTTATCTATTTATTATGAGTTTTTTTAATAAAAGAAAATATGATTTCTATAAAACTCTACCACAAATTAGTGGTTTTATTTTCTTTAAAACTCTATCACATATAACCTGTATTTATATATTTATTATGAGTTTTTTAATAAAAGGAAATCTAATTAGATAAGGATATATTTAAATAAAATAAAATAAAATAAAATTTTAAAATAGTTTATATAAAACTCTAACCCAAATTACCAATTTATCTATTTATTATGAGTTTTTTAATTAAAGAAAATCTAATTAGAGTAGAATTATTAATATAAAAAATATTTATTAATTGGTATAAAAAGTAAAATAATTTTTCTAAAATTCTAACACAAATTACAGTTTTTTAATAAAAAAAAAAATCTAATTAGATAAGGATATATATATTTAAAGAAAATAAATAATTTCTATAAATTTTACCACAAATTACCTATTTTATTTTCAATAAAACTCTATCACATTAAATAAGGATATATTAAAAGAGTTTCTATAAAACACTAACACAAATTAACTAAACTCTATCACAAATTAACTATTTTTTTTTCTTTAAAACTCTATAACATATAACCTGTATTTATCTATTTATTATGAGTTTTTTAATAAAAGGAAATCTAATTAGACAATGATATATTTAAGGAAAATAAAATAATTTGAGTATTTATTTTTTAATATAAAAAATATTTATTAATTAATGTATTTACCTATTTATTATGAGTTGTTTAATAAAAGAAAATCTAATTAGCCAAGGATATATATAAAGAAAATAAAATAATTTTTATAAAATAATTAAAAAGTATATGAAAAGAAAATTTTGATAAGTTACAAAACATTTATTATGTGCATCACATGTGCCTTTTATTAGTATATATATATATAAACATATATAGATAGATATTGATGCACATATTTAAAATTTAACGTGGGTGGACCATAGTTAGTAAAATGCGATACGGGAAAAATACAGGTACAGAAAGGTACGAGTGTAATTCGATATTTTTTTAAAACTATGTTTAAAAAATTCGGCAAAAAAATACGAAAACTTAAAAATACGAATACGAATACGTACGCGTATAATACGTTATATATACTAAAAATTCGAGATAGAAAATTCATCTATACACATCTTATTATATTCTTATATATTATATATTTGTAAGGATAATAAAAAATATGTAATAAATAATAAAATAAATATATTACAATTGACACTATATAATAATCATAAAAAAAAAAATTCATAAGTATATAATGTGATACTCTACTAAAACATTTAGGTGGTGTGGTGATCTACAAACGATCATTAAAAACTATAACAAAACAAAAAAAAATATCTACAAATATAAATATCTACAAACGATCCCACAACAAAACAAAAAAACTATAAATATCTACAAATATCATTAAAAACTTATGATACTTCAAAATTATAGTGTTCTACAAGTGTGTGTGTGTGTGTGTGTGTGTATATCTTTCATTACTTTGATTAAAGATCATACATTGGAGTGACAATAATAAAAGATTAAAAAAAAAAAAGTGATACCTTGAATATATGCAGAACAACTGTGTGAGAGAGTGGTCACAACCTTCCCCAAGATTGCACAACAAATAACATTATTTTGATGGCGTGAAAGATAATGGCTATACTAAGCAAAAGACGGTAGCTTGTGTTTCAGAAAAATACTCTATTAAAAACAGAAGTTCGTGAACGAAAGAAAAAAAAATAATAATAATTAGGTTACGAATTAAACGGAGCAATCTAAACGAATAAACGCATTAAATAGGGGGTGATGGACAAAAAAAATGCATATTTTACTATATCATTCAACTCATCGACAAATGAAAGTATAGTTTAAAATTCGTATGTCGTATGTACACGTTTAATTCGCGTATCATACACGAATTAACTACCTAGGGGTGAACTATCCTACATAAAATTTATTTCAAAAATACTTTGTAAATAAAGATAAATTATTAAGTAATGGAACTATGACATGGACTCGTTCAATCACGAGACCGGGACCACGTCACATCTTGTAATTTGGATGGGGCCGGATGGGGCCTAATAATTTATGACGAGTAACCATCTTACAACTAATGTTATAGGATCAATTTTGAACATATATATTTATTGGTGTACCATATTCTAAACTCTACATGGGTGTCCTATGAACCATACATAATTCATCTAACAACGAGTAATATTTACAACTAAGAAGACATTACCTTCCAACCAAGTTTAAGAAAGGATAAATTTCACTGATCTTTTACGTTATTTGTCAATATTTTAGGTAAACCTCTTACTTTTTGTAATTGTACTTATGTTCTTTGAGATTCTGATTTATATAATAAATTTACCATTAAACACTTGACCTATAATTCTATTTATGTCATTTGAAGTTCTGTTTTATATAATAGATTCACCCTACTGTTAAACACTTGACTAATACAAACAGAATCTATTAATTTAAGCAATATAAAAAATTAATAGAAGAACAATTTTATCTTTTTAATATCTGAAATAATAATAAATTTTTTATTAAAAAAAGGGTAAAATGACCAATATGCTTACAAATTTGTCCAAATATTTCAACACGGAATTTTAATCAAAGAATGACAGCCACCAACCTTGAACCTTGCTTCTGTCATTTTCTTGCTTGTCTCTCTCTTTTCTCACATACATCACATCTTCTTTTGTTTTGTTTGTTTCCTTGCTGTTTTACTCACGTATCTAGAGCTAGAAAAAAAAAAAATAATAAAATAAAATAAAAAATTGAAGGGCCAACCATAAACAACAATATGATAAAATAAAAAAAAATAAAAAAAATAAAAAAATAAAAAAACCAAAATAAGAAATAGCAAAAGAGGGATGTTTTATGAATTCTGACTTCTAAAATTTTTATAGAATTCATTGGAGGAGAAACGACAAGAGTCTTTTTAAAATTTGAAAATTATTTTAGGCCACATATTTATCACGGTTTTTTGTGAATGTTTTAGGGGTTTAGTTGGGCTATTTTTGTAATTATCACTCCCTCGGTTTCATATTAGTAGTCCATTTTTCGTTTGTAGAATGTCCCAAATTAAATGTTCATTTTGAAAAGTTAAAATTTGAAAGGAGACAATGCATTGATTACATATTCTCATAAAAAGTTATAAAATAAAAATGGATAATTAATAAGGGACGGAGGAGTAAAATTTATGTATAAAATACTAAAATAAAAAAAAATTCCAATGAAGTCCATTGGCCCCACTGGCTCCGCCATTACATATATGTTTGTGAATATAAACATATATTGATGCACATATTTCAAATTTTGCATGGGTGGACTACCCCACACAAAATTTATTTCATAAATATTTTGTAAATAAAGATAAATTACTAAGTAGTCAGGAACCATAACACAGACTCGTTCTCGTTCAATCACGAGTCTGGGACCACGTGACATCTTGTATGACGAGTAACCATCCTACAACTAATGTTGCAGGACCAATTTTAAAACCTGGTCCCACCCACGTGAAGTTTGAACATATATATATTCATTATTGTATCATATTTCAAACTATATGACCCACGCAAAATTTATCTAACTAGTAATACTTACTACTAAAAAAATATTACCCTTTCAACAAAGTTTAAGAAAGGATAAATTCCACTAATCTTTAATGATGTTTGTCAATATTTTAAATAAACTTTTTATATTTCATAATTCTACTTATATTATTTATGCTCTGTTTGGTTGAAGGAATGAAAAAATTGATGGAATGGAGAGGGGAAGAAATAGATGAGTCATCCCTAGGGAAGAGAAGATGTCTCCCTTAAATTTTGTTTGATTTGATGGAATGTATAGTAGAAATGATAGATTAGGTGACACATTATTTTTGTTTGTTTGAAAAGAAAAGAAAGAGGGTTTTTATATTTTTTTTTTACCAATATACCCTTATTATTTAAAATTATAAAAATTCTATATTTATTCCAAGTTTATAGGAAGGTTAGAAATGAAAAATACATATTTCTATTAATAGTAACTTATTTCTCTCTCCTCTTCCTTCCAATTTTGGGCGGATAGAAAAATACAAAGAAAGGAGAGGATGTTTCATCCCTCCTTGCTTCCTCCCTCTTTTCTCTTTCCTCTAACCAAATGCGAAAAAATATTTTTATTCACCCTCTCATCCATCCCTCCCCAATCCTTCCCTCCAAACAAACACATCATAAGGTTCTGATTTATATAATATACTCACCCAACAGTCAAACACTTGGCTAATACAAACAAAATCTACTAATGTCAACAATAGAAATTTAATAGAAAAACAATTTCCCCTTTTTAATATCTGAAATGATAATAAATTGTTTATTAACAAAACAGTAAAATGACACTATGCTTACCAATTTGACCAAATATTTCACTGACAGAATTCTAATCAAAGAGTGACAGCCACCGACCTTAATGTCACGGGCTTAGAGTTTCAGCACCACTCTAGCTGCTCCTGTGCGGCACCAAGACGTTGCTTTCACTCTCGCAAGTACTTGGTCAACCTAACTCCCGTGCACACCTTAGCCAACACACTCTCCTCGTGCGCTTACTAGTGTTGTAGTTGCCCTCGCCCTCTCCTTACTTGGCTTGCACACTCACACACACTAAGGCACTTAAGTTGGCAAGGAAAAAACACTTCTATTACTTCAAAGAATGCTTTGTACAAGGCTAACACTCAAGCTCTCTACAAGGCTCTCAAGACTCACTCCAGGACTTGTTCCCTGCAAAATGAAGTCCTACCTCTATTTATAGGCATCCCCATCCCTAATGGACGGCTAGGATGCATTCTAACCAACGGTGGAGATTGATTATCTAGAATCTTCTCCCACCTTCTTCACACTTCCATACTTATCTACTAGTATCTACAACATTCTAGAATTCTCCATACTACTCCACACAACTCTGGAGAACTCTAGAACCTTCCACACACTTCTACACATTTCTACACATATCTAGAATCTTCCACATAACTCTAGACTATTCCGGAAGACTCTAGAAACTCCACTTGCCATGCAGTTGCCATGCAGCGTCCTCCTCAGCGTCTGCGTGTCGCCTGCGTGGCACAACCTCCATAGGCGGGGCGTGACATTAAGCTTGCTTTCGTCATTTTCTTGTTTGTTTATCTCTTTTCTCACATACTTCACATCCTCTTTTGTTTTTGTTTGTTTCCTTCTTGCTTTATTCACACATTTAGAGTCAGAAAAATTGGTCTAAAGGGGCAACCATCAACAATAATATGATAAAAAAATAAAAAATTAAACCAAAATAAGAAATAGCAAATGAGGGGTGTTTTATGAATTTTGACTTCTAAGATTTTTATGAAATTCATTGGAGGAGAAACAACAAGAGTCTTTTTAAAATTTGAAAATTATTTTAAGGGTTCAATAGGGTTATTTTTACAATTATTAAAATTTATGTATAGAATACTAAAATAATAAAAAAATTCCATTTGAGGCTACACACATATTGATGCACATATTTCAAATTCTGCATGGTGGACTACCCCGGACATAATTTATTTCATGAATATTCTGCAAATAAAGATGAATTACTAAGTAGTCAAGAAACATGACATAGACTCGTTCACGTTCAATCACGGGCCAGGACCTTGTGACATCTTGTATGATGAGTAACCATCTACAACTAATGTTATAGGACCAATTTTAATAAATGGTCCCACCCACGTGCAGTTTGAACATACATGGGTGTACTATGGCCCACGCAAAATTCATCCAACTAATAATACTAACTAGTAAGATATTACTCTTCCAACCAATTTTAAGAAAGGATAAATTCTCTAATCTTTTATGATGTTTGTTAATATTTTATATAAATCTCTTACTTTTCATAATTTTATTTGTGTCATTTGAAGTTCTGATTTATATAACAGATTTTCTCTCTTATAAAACACTTCACCGATACAAACAGGATCTGTTTATGTTAAAAATAGAAGAAAATTGATGAAAGGACAATTTTACCTTTTTAATATCTAAAATGACAACAAATATTTTTTAAGAACAAAATGGTAAAATGACACAGTATGGTTACCAATTTGTCCAAATATTTAATTGACAAAATTTTAATCCAAGAGTGATAACCACCAACCTTGAACCTTGCTTTTGTCATTTTCTTATTTTTTTTTTCTTTTCTCACATACATCACATATTCTTTTATTTTTGTTTGTTTCCTTGTTGTTTTACCCACGTATCTAGAGCCAAAAAAACAAAGTTTTGGAACGGGCAATCATAAAAAATAATATGAGAAATAATTTTTTTTTAAAAAATAAAATTATAACAAAGGAGGGGTGTTTTATGAATTTTGACTTCTAAACATTTTATGGAATTCATTGGAGGAGAAATGATACGAGTCTTTTTTAATTTTGAAAATTATTTTAGACCAATGAGTTACAAAATGAGGGATCATTTTTTAAATTTGAAAGTATTTATCATGGTTTTTTTTTTGAAATTTTTAGGGGTTTAGTGGGGGAATTTTTATAATTATTAAAACTTATGTATAGAACACTAAAATAATATAAAAATTCAAATGGAGGCAATTGCCCCCACTGGCAATGCCATTATATGTGTGTGTGTGTGTGTATATATATATATTGATGAACATACTTCAAATTTCGCATAGGTGGACTACCCCCACACAATTTATTTCATAAATATTTTGTAAATAAAGATGAATTACTAAGGAGTTGGGAACAATAACATAGACTCGTTCTGGTTCAATCACAAGACCGGACCATGTGACATCTTGTACTTTGGACCGGAAGACCACCTAATAATTTATGATGAGTAACCATCTTACAACTAATGTTATAGGATCAAATTTGAAAATTGGTCCCAGCCACGGGAAGTTTGAACATACACATTGATTGTTATATCATATTTCAAAATATACATGGGTGTACTACGATCCACACAAAATTCATCTAACTAGTAATATTTATTACTAAGATATTACCCTTCCAACCAAGTTTAAGAAATGACAAATCCGACTGATCTTTTATGATGTTTGTTAATATTTTATGTTAACCTCCTATGTTTTGTAATTCTACTCATGTCCCTTGAAGTTCTGATATATATAACAGATACCTTATATTGTTAAACACTTGATACAAACAGGATCTGCTAATGTCAGAAATAAAAAATTGATAGAAGAACATCGCCTTTATAATATTTGAAATGACAACAAATATTTTAGGGTAAAGTGCATTAAACCCCCCTGAACTATTGGTCATTTACAGGAAACCCCCCTGAACTATTGGTCATTTGCAGAAAACCCCCCTGAACTTCAAAAAACCCCTCTGAACTATGATTTTGTTGCAATTTACCCCCTTGAACTATTGGTCATTTGCAAGAAACTCATCTGAACTACAAAAAACCCCCCTGAACTATGTTTTTGTTGCAATTTACCCCCCTGAACTATGATTTTGTTGCAATTTACCCCCATGACATCAGCTTCCGGTACCAAAAATTTTAAAAGACCAGTTTACCCTTATAACACGTACACTGCGTCGTTTTAACTTATACACTTCTTATTTTCTTTTTTTTTTTCTACCAAAAGATGCCTTTAACCCAACACAACCCAAAACTGAGAGCTAGAGAGAGAGAGAAGAGACCAAAGAAATCCAAGATCGGCGGGATGGCTCGGTCTCGGATGATGGCGGCTTGTGTGCGGAGGACTCGGCTGTGATGAGAGCTCGGTTGACTCGGCCGTGAACTGTGGAGGCGGCGGCGAGCTCAAGGGGGCTCGGCGGTGAACTGTGGACGGCTGTGTGCTCGAAACACGGACGACGATGTGCTCGGCTATAGAGATGGCGGAATGGGCCGGCGAGATTGAAATGGACGGTGGAATGGACCGGCGAGCAAGGTGAGCTGAACGGCAGGCAAGGCGGTGACGGCGATGGGCTGACACAACGGTGCAGAGAAGTGCGATATATATGGCCGACGGATCTGGCGAGTGGTGCAACAGCTATGATGGAGCTATGACAGGAGACCCACCGATCCCAGCAACAAATTCCTCGGCTTCATCGTCCGTTTCAGTCAATCGATTCGCGTGGATGGGGTAAACTGCAAAAAAATATATAGTTCAGGGGGTTTTTTTGCACATACCCCAATAGTTCAGGGGTTTTTTTTTATAACTTTTATAGTTCAGGGGGGTTTTTTGCACATACCCCAATAGTTCAGGGAGTTTTTTTTGAAAATTATTTTAGGCCAATGAGTTACAATATGAGGGATCATTTTGAACTTTCACTTTTTGATTTTCACTTTCTCTAAAATCATAATTTTACATTTTTGAGATGAAATAGAAAGTAAAATGATGATTAATAATTTATTCTGCTTTTAATATTTTAAAAGTAAAAACATAGAAAGTGAGTTTAATAATTTTAATTTTAATTTTGTTTTCTTGTTATCTTTCTCTCTTTAAATAATAATAATAATAATAATAATAATAATAATAATAATAATCTGGGTTTGATTATAATGAGTTCGTTCTAGACCTGGGTGGCGGTGCTTGGGTGGGCAGAGGCGGATCAAATGGAAGGTGTGGGGAGAGAGCTCGATTTGATATTGGGGTCACAACCTCACTATCATCAAAATTATTGGTTTTTATCACCGGAATTGTGAATCCTTCGTCACCGGAATATAATCCGATTCGCCGATAATGGAGAATCAACTTCGTCTTCTCTGATTGGTTCAAGTTGATTTGGGTATATTTTTGATGGGTTTTGATGTGTATGAGAGAGGAGGGAGATGGTTGATTTGGGTATATTATTGATGGGGTTTGATGTGTATGAGAGAGGAGAGAGGGGAGAGTAGTATTCGTCTGCATCTTCTTCGTCCAAATAGAGAGAGAGAGAGAGAGAGCAGAGGGAGATGGTGGTGGGTGATGGTCAGGTGAGAATGGTAGAGTGAGATACTGATGATAGAGAGGGAGAGGATGATGGGCGAATGGGAGAGTGAATGTTACAGTAACAAAAAGCATTTTTTTGTGTACAGTTCTATTTCCTTGATTAAATATGAAAGTACTTTCTAGAAGATAAAAATTAAAATTATGTTAATAAACATAATTTGTACTTTTACTTTACATTTTAGGAATTGAGAGTAAAAAAGAGAAATTATTCCTGTTAGTGAATAGGCCCAAAAATAATATAAAAATTCAAATGAAGGCAATTGCCCCAATTGGCTTTGCCATTATATAAATGTGTGTGTGTGTGTGTATATATATATATATATATATATATATATTTATTTCGTAAATATTTTGTCAATAAAAATAAATTATTAAGTAGTTAGAATCATGACATGAACTCGTTCTCGTGAAGGTCGGGACCATGTGACAACTTGTAATTTGGACAGGAGGACGATTTAATAATTTATGATGAGTAAGCATCTTACAATAATGTTATAAGATAAATTTTGAAAATTAGACCCACCCACATGAAGTTTGAACATATACATTTATTGTAGTATCATATTTCAAAGTCTACGTACTTTTCGAAAAATATATTTCAAAGTCCATATGGGTGTACTATGACCTACACAAAATGCATCTAACTAGTACAATCTTTGTCCCAAAATACATGTCATATTTGGGAAATCCAACTTTTTATGATAATAGAGTTTTAATAATTTTTTTTATTATATTGATAAAAGTGAAGTTTCAAATATGCTTTTGTTAAAAGACAAAATAATGCTCCGTAATTAATGCACTTAGTTAAAAGGATAGTTTGATAATGTTATAAAAAATATTACATTCAATTTTGGAATGAGACATATTTTTTGGGACATCCCAAAATAAGAAGATGACAAGTATTTTGGGAAGGAGGGGATAATATTTACTACTAAGACATGACTCTTCCAACCAAGTTTAAGATAGGATAAATTTCACTCTTTTATGATATTTGCCAATATTCACATAGACCTTTTATGTTTCATAATTCTACTTTGATCTTTGATGTTCTAATTTATATAACAAATTTCCCTTGTCATTAAATACTTGACTGATACAAACAAAATCTGCTAACGTCAGTTTTACCCAGTTTATGACTCTAGGGGGGTGAATAGAGTCTTAATAGAACAATACCAATTAATCGGGTTTATTTAATTTATAATGATCAATTAATAATCTTGAATACACAATAACAGATATTGAAAAAACAAAGCAATATTAATCAAGATACAAAGTAAAGAGAGAAAGAAACAAACTCATAACATCAAGATTTAGCGAAGTTCGAAAATTCCTACTCCTCGGCTCAAGATCCCTCCTGAAACCTCCCAAAACCCACTATGGATTCTCCTTAAAGGTGGAGAGTAAACTGGTACAAGAAGCACACCGCTTCTGAATCTTCTTGCTAAGTGAATAAACCTCTCTTAGACTTCTTTTGAGTTAAACCAACCCACACAACATTTACAACTGAAGAACAAAGAAACTCTCAGAATTTGATACGCAGATCAATGCTCACAAGCCTATTGCATATTTAGAGATTAACAAAAGGTTTAAAGCTTAATAGATATGAATGAAACAATGATCAATGTTGTAGGTTTTTTTTATTTTTTATCACAACGTTTTTCTCTCTGTGTGTAAGAAGTAATTTTATTGAAAACCTTGATGAGTTTAAATGAACTAAGTAGAAAAATAAAATAAAGAGCAATGATTAAATAAGATGTAGAAAATAAAGAGAGAGAACTAGGGACATGACTTCGCCACTAACGTCGCACCACTAGTCAATTGCATCAATTTATTGGATATATATATATATATAACATGCATAAGGAATTAATCATGACTACAAGTACATATTAATTCACTTAAAAGATAATATAATTTAAAGCTAAGTATGGACAATCTTCGATTGACATAAACCATCTATCTAACTACTTTACTCTAGGGTGTACTATGGTCTATCTTTTCTAGGCATAATCCATCAAATCTTTAATATTATATTCAGAGAAAAACCATTGTGTAATCATCTCATTCACAACTATAAGAAGTGAATGAACTGTGCTCAATCACAAGATTCAAATATCCAAGACAAGATAAAATAATATTTGTAATTGAATTAAAACTTTAAAACCGATTTTTATTGAAAAATCAATTAAAAATCCTATAGATTACACAATCATACATGAATAATTGTTCTCCAATAAATAAATACAATCAAACCAGTGGTGCTAAGCTAGGGCTACATCACAACCCTAGCAAAGCGTTTAGCCAAGTATGACCGGAGTGGAATTCTTCATAGTTGAGGAAGACATCTTCACCGCCATGGATTGATCCCTTATGTCTTTTGAATGCTTCTCCTCTGATCTTAGCTTCTAGCTCCTTTGTATCATCTCTAATGATGTAGAGAACTCCCTTTAAATAAGAGAAGATCAGTCCTAAAGTTCTCTTTTTCACATAGAAGACATATATGGAAAATCTGCTAAACAAGGATTCCAAAATTCGTTTAAACTTCCAACCTAGTTTAATAAGGTAAACAATTTTTTTATGAAATTCTTGTGAAATATAAAATTGTAACTCTTCGAATTTCTTTTCAACTTACGTGAGAATTTAGCTGTTTTGACACTCGAGGAGAGAGATACAGACAAATTATCAAAACGGATTCAAGTTTCTAACTTTGGATAAAGTTTTCTAGTTGGAAAATGATTTTTCCTTTTCTTCTTCTTTTCATTCTCATCAACTTGTGGCTTCTATTGGACTCTTTTATAAGTTTAATTAGACTTGGATCTTCATCATTAATCGGTCTTACAGAATGTCATCTTTTAAAGTTCGGAATCAATTTTGACTGATTTTACAATTAAAGCCCTAAAATAAAAAAAAAATTAAAACAATGTAAAATATTCAAATTAAGGGGCTAAAATGTATAACACTTAGCGCCTAACATGTCTAAACTACTAAAAAAAATTTGGTTGCATTCATTGCACTAGACGTATCTAACTTTTCATTATTGCATGTATAATATATGCATCCGTACGTGTATTACATAGACAGTCTAGATGCACCCGTTGCACAACCAAATATTTTTCCTCATCTACACTCTGGCCAACAAGATAGGGACATAAAAATTGATTTTGTGTTCACCAAGTCTTTGGCCAACTTCAATGGCTTATCTTCCTTCTGGCCTACAAGATTGGGACACAAAATTAGTGACTTTTTGGTAACACGGAATAAAGATTTGTGTCACTTTCCCTTTCTCATTTTGCTGTTTGGAATCCAGACTCCAAATTATTTTCTTCCGAACAAAGAAGTCCCCAATTCCTTGCAAATATTGGATCTTCAACCAATAAAACACCGGAATTTAGACGTACAGCAGATCCATCAACTCCTTTCTACCTCTCTGGGTTTTGGTCAGGCAGAGAGACTGAAATGGCCGCAGCAGCAGTGGCATCGGTGGTGATAGAAAAACTGGCGCTGATTGAGAAATCATTGATCGTGGACAAAGTGATAGATCAAGTACTGGAGGAGATCAGAACTGCTGCGAGACTGATGATGCGGGATGCTGAAGAACACAAGCTAGACTGCAACGAAGAAGGAAAGAAGTGGACATGTGACTATCTTGGCATTCTTTATCAAGTGGAGGATGCTATTGAAACTTTTGCTCTAGCCCGTCATCAGAGGAAGAGCTCACTGTTGCCGATTGGTGGCTGCTTCAACCACTTGGGGTTTTCCCAAAAAAGCCTCCTTAAGAAGATGCTGGAAATCCAAATTAAAATCAAAGAACTCAACGACAAAAAGGCTTCTGCTCAACCCTTACAACATGATGAGGATCAAGAAGAAGAAAAGGAAGCTAACGCTTCTATTGATTGGCCGAGACTTGAAAAAAGTAGTAGCAGTAATGGTCGTGCAATTTCTCAAGTTAAGGTAATGCCCGCCCTAGCCTGTGCCAATTCAGTACGACGTATCAGGTCTGCATTGAGCTTCAACGATTGCCTGCGGAATTTTACCGATGAACGCAGCATCACACATAATGTGAGCCTGTTGAGCGAATCGGATCGGTGGGAAATGTTCTTGAAGAATGCCCGATTGCCAGAAACTAGTATTGACAACCCGTCTCTAAAGCAGAAGATTCTGGAAAAATGTGATGGTCTACCCCTGAGGATTGTTCTCCTTGGTGGTCTGTTATCGACCAAGAAAGAATCAAGTTGGAATGAATGGTTTCGAGTCGTTGACCAATCAAATCGTGATATCTTCTCGTTGAGTTACGATGAGCTACTCGTTCACTCAAAGCTATGTCTTCTTTATTTAGCGCTTTTCCCCAAAGATTATGATATCCCAGTAAGGAGGTTACTTCGGTTGTGGCTTGCAGAGGGATTCGTGAAACGATCTCCCGAAATGATCCCAGAGGATGTGGTACAGGAATACTTTGAGGATCTGGTTAAAAGGAACATGATTCGGATATCTAAATTGAGGTCCGATGGAAGCGCCAGAGGATGTCGTTTACTCGGTGCTCTACATGATAACTTATCGTCCAAAGCACAAGACATCAGCCTATTCCACATCCACCGCAACTCCAATAGCTGTGGAGCTGCAAGTCATCGACTAAGTGTTCGTAGGATCGTTGAGTACGACGATGTTAAGAATTGCAATCCTTCTGAGTTCCAGAACGCGCGGTCTTATATTTCATTTAACTTTCAAAAGAAAGATACACCGGCAACGGAAGTAAGGCAATTTGTCAGCAAACTCATTGGTAAGAAAGGCTTTGGATTGCTGAGGGTGCTTGATCTAGAGTGTGTGTACAAACCGAGTTTGCCTGACAATCTGGGAGATCTCTTTCATTTGAGATATCTGGGGTTGAGATGGACTTTCTTAGATTACCTCCCTTCCTCGGTGGGCACCCTGACCTACCTCGAAACATTGGATTTGAAGCACACGTACATCAATAGTCTACCCAGTTCCATTTGGAAATTGAAGCATTTGCGACACTTGAATCTCAATGAGATTCTACTTGACATGCCATCACAACCACCCAATTCCTGTCTCCTTACATTATGGGGATTAGTCATAGATCACAAGAGCCCGGTGAGGAATTGTTTGGACAGGTTGAGGGACCTTAGAGAATTAGGCATTACACTCCATTTGAGCACCGACCCAGAAGACAAAGCAGAGATTCAAAAAAAAAAGGAAGACATAGCAGAGGTTCAAAAAAAAAAAAAGGAAGACATAGCAGAGGTTCAAGAAAAAAAAAAGAAAGACATAGCAGACTGGGTCGCAACTTTAACTGCTCTTCAATCTCTAAGGTTGAGATCAAAGGATGGGAGGGGATGTCCAATGGACCTCTGTTTGAAGCCATTGTCAGGTTTAGAGAAACTTTCCCATTTGTATTTGCTGGGGAATTTACAAAAGTTACCAGATATAAAAGATTTCCCATCAGCAGTTAAAGTTATCACATTGTCAGTCTCCCGGCTGACGGAAGATCCCATGCCTATCCTGGGGCGCCTGCCAAGCCTAACAGTCCTCAGGCTTTTAGCAGACTCGTACCTTGGGCAACAAATCACTTGCCCTCTGGATGCTGATGGAGTTGGAGGATTTAGAAAGCTTCAAGTCCTGAAACTCTGGATGCTGAAGGAGTTGCAGGAGTGGGAATTAAAGACGGGGGCAATGCAGAGCCTCAGAAAACTGAACATCAGATGTTGTCATAGACTGAAGAACATACCCCAGAGACTGATGGAATCGAGCACATTGGAAGAATTGATTTTGACAAACATGCCAGATGCATTCGTAGCTGATGTTAAGTTATACCGCACCGCTACTGTCAAGAATTTTGACTCTTTGCCGGTGAGTTTCTTCTGTTCTTAATTTTACATTAAAGCTACTAAATTCTTAAACTTCACTAGAATTAGTGGGGGTAAAAGGGGAAGGAAGAGAAAACTTCCATGTCCTCCATTCTTACTTAAAATGTTTGCATGCTAAACACTTACTTGGAACTGAGCTCTTAAATTTGTCGTCATGGCAGTGGAAACAAGATATTCTTTCGGACGGGGGCATTAATGATCCAACTATTGCTAGAGATGCTGAGGCTGCGTTGGCCGGCTGCTCCCATATAAAGCCAGAAACTTGAGCTTCAATATGTAGGGCCATTTCCCACAAAAAGAAGGTTCACATTTTTAACTTGGAATCGTTTCCACTGTGTGCTTCATCTTCTCATTCTGTTCAATGCTGTAGCTAGTGCTAGAGGGTCTCCTCATTTGTTCCTTGTTTAATTTGTTGGGATTTATATATCGCATAGCAAATTCTTATTTGAATTATAATGACACATGTATCTGAAATATTTATAATTTATATAATTGATGAATTCAATGTATTATGTTTTGATTTATTATGGAATTGAGAGTATCCACTTGATTACAAGAAATATTTATATATGTATGTGATGACGATCAATACATGAATTTAAATAGTAATCATAAATTGTTCATAGTCGGTAATTATGGATGAACTCATTATTAGCTAAGACTTGAACTAGATCCGCGTTAGGTTGAGATATATTGCGAGAGCCGTCGTATGTAATTGCTTCCTATCACTGTCATGGCATTTGACTCTTAAGCATGAGAAAAATATAGACTCTTTTATTAATTAGTAATTACTTTGATTTGTTCGGCGGAATCTTCGGAATCTATAGACCGGCACTTTTGGTAATTATGTAATTAATAGTTAGAGAGTTATATTTTCAATATTTGCATTATTGCTACTTGTATTTATTTTAAATTGATTATGGTTGATCACAAAATAAATTCGAAGGCTTTCGTGTGTTTTTAGACAAAATGATTTATATATATTTATTTATTGAAATTATTATTTTTGTCAAACAAATGTTTTATTGTGATCAAGTCAGAAATAATCAAAGTTACCAAAATAAATATATTAATTAAGTAGTCAAATTGTTGAATTTATTTATCCAATAACTAATTATGCATAGAGGGGTCAAAGTGCAACATTGACTTAGATGTTATTTATTATTTAATTGGAGTTCAATTAATTTCTTTTAGTGGAGTAAAAATTAATTTATGAATTGATTGTATTAGGTCCATGAATCGAGCCAATTATTAATTCATTATAGCCAAGAAAATAATAACCCCAAAGGATTCTCACTCATAACCCAACTTGATATTGAAATCTTATTAGATTTGAGATATGTGAATTAGAGATTGAGAAGGATTTATTGTTTCCTTTCCTTATCTTTATGTTGCATATATATACATGATCTATGTATATTTTATGTGTGACTTTTGGAAGGAGAAAAAAAAAAAAAAAAGAATATATTTTTCTCTCTCTAGAATTTTAGGGTTAGTGTTCTCATCTAATGGAGGCTCCCACAAGTCTAATTTTCCAAAATCATTCATGGAGGTTTATGGGTGATCCTAAAGGTAAGACCATTACCAAGAAGAAGGAGATCTAAGGAGAAAGCATCTAGCAAAGGGATCTACAATAAATAAGAACATTCACTTTAGATGAAAGATCTAAGGTTTACTCAAACCTTGATATAAGTATTCAATCTATTAATTGAATGATATATCATATTTTATTTTTACATAAAACTTGTCTCTATGTGATAAATCAAGATCTATATATGAAAATCCCTCATAAAGTATTTTTTAAAACTTGCATGTTTCCTAACATAATTACGTACTGCCACATTTTTGGGTGAGAAACTACTAATACTTGTACAACTCAAGAAGCCTACTTAACCAACAAGGATCATGACTACAGTATAAATGCTAATCATGTTTAATAAAGACAAACTTATTTATTCAGATTCAAAAAAATTACTACAAATTAAAGAACAGAAGGGAAAAACAAAAGCAGAAAAGCCTGAGCTGTGAACACCTTGAGCTGATGCTTAATAAGAATCAACCCCATCAGCAGCCCGACCAAATAATATTCATCATCTATTTTGATGCATGCCTATTAAGCTATAAAGCTGAACACGTCAACCACAAACAGGGTAGTTTAATGAACAACTCTACGTCCATTTTGTGCCACTTTCTTTCTCATCGAGGAACAATGGCAGTTGCAAAATCCCAGCTTCCATTCTACTCAATTTTATGGAAAAGTGAACATGTGGAGCAGACATTGTTTAAAGGTTGATAAATTAAAGAGAAACTTTAAATTTATGCTTCTTTGCTTGTGATTATATCAAGTCCAAATGATACAAGACATCTAAGTCTAGCTGCTGAAAGATGCTTTCAGTGAACTAAGCAGAGGTCTATGTACCATGTGAAGAATTGAAATGAAAGAGGGGTTGTTTACTATCAAGCAAAACACAAGGAGACCCCATAATGCTGCGACATTGAATGAAAATAGTCCATCTAATGGTTGCGAAACTACTAAAAAGAACTCATTGCCAAGTGTTTTATTTAGATTCTAAATCTTTTTACTGGCAAGTATTCTTATAGAAGAAATGGTTTATAGGAAAGAAACTTGAAGTTTTCCACTTAAATCAGAAAGAAGCATAACAGTAAATTAGATATGAGTGGTTTGACCTCTGGCAATCTGCTTAACCCTAATGTTGGGTTCTGGAGTGCCTAAGGTTCCAGAACATGATCCCCGGCACCTTACTAAATCCCTTTTTCTAAAATTTCTTCTGTATCACTTCATAATCTGTTTCCCACCCTCTCAGCCAACCATTCATGTCATTTACTCCGAAAGAACTCATACGTGGACCATAAATAATTGGCTCCTCAACCTCGGTATCTGAATCACTCTCTGAATCTTCATTCTCCGGATGCCAATAATGTGCATGAAATGGAAACTTCTTCATTGCCTGATCAAATTCCATATCCCTGAAAACAAAGATCTTGTTTATCATCTGCTCTTCAGTTAACTTTCCATCAACGAGGACCATATAGGCTTCCTATAAGCTCTATCTCTGGTAGTATAATAAAATATCGGCATAGTATCATATTCTATTAAACTAACTGAATACTTCTTTTACTAGATTCTACATCAGGTAATGGGAAATATTGGCTTTTAATGTCAGATGATAGTTGAAGTTCTCACCAATTTGTAAGGACTCACATCTGAGCGAAGTAGAAGTTCCAGACGATATTGTATTATACTACCAGACAATCCATGAGCAAAAATCAGGCCACATAAAGTAGGCCACTTTAAGGGGGGCCCTTCGAACGCCAAACCACTTCCATGGAAGTTTGCCCTTGAAAAGCCTCATTTCCGAGCAATTGCAAGAGTAGCAATATTGAAGAAAAAAAATCAAAATGCATTGAGAATGTATTACGTGTCAAACAGGCCGAAGGGCGGCATTTCTTTAACAGTTAAGTGTGCACTCCAAAACTATATCCATCAAAAATTTCCTTCACTTATATGTGCAAAAACCAAAAATAAAAACCACAAAAAAAAAAAAAAAAATTTACAAGGAAAAAAAAAAACGCACAATAACTAATACCTCTATATTAAAAAAAAGGATTAAGCTGCATGACTACGTATATAACGTGACACTCGCTTAACTTGGTACATTATATCCTCATTAATTAATTACATAGTTACACGGAAAGTTTTATACAATAAAAATGATACATATCAACTAGTACATGTATACAACCTCAAGATTTCAAACCTCACTGTACGTGCAAAAATTTATTAATTTTAAAAAGCCAAAGAATAAAAGCAACTCACTCAAATAAAAGAACAATTCACTCGATGAAATAATAAGAACAATTCAGAAAAAAGTCTGTAATACTCAATGATCTTTATTGGAGGTCTATGCCTTTATTTATATACAAATTGAGGTAAAATTATGGTAGGATTCGCTATACTTGTCCTCCACGTTTCTCTCATATACAATTTATTCCATATACAGTTTCTTCTATACAAAGTTCATTCCTTGTTTAACTCCTTCCACGTAGAATTCTTCCTATGTAGAGTCTCCTTCTATATAGGACCCTTTGCAATGCTGTGATTTGATTGATCCGGATTACATTTAGATCATAATGAGTATCGGGTGGAGAAGTTGACATTAGTACTTTTGGGCTGATGATGGCATTATTTTGCTTGATCCAAAATTGGGCTTTGGAAAGCTAGTGGGCCGGAATAAAGAGGTGGTAACTCTTTTAATGACGTGGCTGATTTTTATTGGTGGGGGGATTTTTCCCTCCACATTTTTCTCCCATTTACCTCTTAAATTGAACAACGGTCCCTAATTAAAAGGGAGTTGATTTTACACGGTTACTTAGAAGTGTAAGAGGCGGTTTGGCATTGGCTATTGGTATTCTGACAAAAGCCTCTTTAAAGTTCGTTTCTGTCATCACCGTGTTTCATAGCCTCTTTTTCTTCTCAGGTTAGTCTGTATTTCTCTTTTGTTGATTTCATAATATGAACACTTCACCTACTCACAATCAAGTAGAGCATATAGATTCTAAGGCCACTCCCTCAGCGTCTTCCGTTCTTCTTAAAACCCCTCCCCCCAAAAGTTCTTAACTCTCTTAGTGTTTTAGATGATTCGAATGTGATGGGAGATGATTCTTCGCATCAAGTGGAGGAATCCACTTCCGAATCTGAGGAGATCTTTACCCAAAAGGAGAGAGAGATGATTTTATCGGTCCGTCGTATTAAGTTCTCTGTTGACTCCGTGTTGGAAGAGTTTGAGATTCTTAAGGGGGTGGAGATAGCCAAGTATCCTTCCGACGCTGATTTCAGTTCCGGTGAGGGTGTTGGCAAGAATGAACTACTCTTGTCTGTTAGGCACCTTCATGTCCTTTGTTTTCCCCTTAACCCCTTTTACCATTTAGTATTTTATAAGTTAGGGATTGCTCCTCTCTAAATAAACCCTAACTTCCTGAGAATAGTCTCGGCTCTTCTTATCCGTCGAAGATTAGAGGGAATTGATCTGAACCTTGCTGATTTGTTATTCAGCTACACCATTTCCAAGCACCAAACAAAGCTTGGTTGCTATTTCTTCACTTCATCTCTACAACAGAGATTATGTACTCACCTTCTTAATTCTAAGAAGAGATGAAAAGAGAGGATGATCATTGTTCGGGGGAATTGGTTTGTGCCCCAATCTGCCAAACTCCCTATCTTTCAAAAATTTGGGATTTTAGGTATAAAGGGGGTTTTCTTCTTTTCATCTGGAGTGTTCCGGCTATTTTCCATGCCAGGTTTTACTTTTTCGTCGTATTTATGAATTTCTTAGTATTTTTTCAGTATCGTTTCCATCTTCGGTGGCTTGGAACAGGCTCTCTTTCCTTGAAGAAAAGGTGTGGCAAAGTCCTTCATCTGCGGAGGATTTTCTTTCTTCGTCCAATCTTAAGAAAATCGCTGATAAGCGCTGAATATTGCATAATGGAACTCCTAAA